GCATTTTATCTTTTCAGGTCAAATCTAATGTAATGTAATACCACGTTATGACCACCAGATGGCGCCAAAGAGCTTTGATTTGCTGTAGTTGGCAGACTTCATGGCCAAGCTCCTCCCACTGCCACCCAGCAGGCGGAGCATATCCGGGGAAAACCAAGCCACGTTCCCCCAAGTGAAACTGAACCAGAGAGGTGCACAGAAGTCTTTCCCAGCCAGTGAAAGTAATAGCAGATAGTATTTGCTATTAGGAGGGGCCATTCACGCCACGATGCCCGGCTCCGCAATGCGTGCGTTCCCATGCGCTAAGGTGCGCGCTGTTGTGGCCATTAAAAAAAAAATGGGCTGCAATGCACACAGATAGGGCTTGCTGTGTATTGTGGTGCAGGGGGTGCGTCAGGTGCGGCTGACAATGAACGGCACCACAATGCACCAACGCTCATATGGTGCGGCGCACGCATTTCACCATTGCACCAGTTCCCTCCCACCGAGGGTCTCATTACTGTCTGTGCTGGCCCAGCTCCTCCACCCCTCTACATAACCCTGCATGTAGCAGCTGGGGTAACAACGAAGGGGAATTCTATAGAGCTTCACTTGGCTTCACCAATAAATGCTCATATGATCCTATGGGGGTGACAGGTGCTCTTTAAGCCCGGTCTTGTTGTTGTTCTCTGCGTCCTTGAACTGAGCCCGAGTGACGTTTAGTACCGGGAAGAATGCTGGAGGCGTGCTGGTGGAGGGAAATACCTGGAACATGCCGAGACAAGGTGCGAGTCACATGACACTACGCGGGCACATAAACCTGCCAGCCAGGCGGCAGAAAAACACGCCGTCATGTGACCTCCCCGCCCAATGACTGAGAGCGTGATAGTGAACAGGAGGGTGACCCCCGAGGGTGACAGGGAACAGAAACACAGGCTATCCACCGAGCATTGCTGATTCAACTCCCAGCAACCAATCAAAGCCGAGTCAGCCTGGCACACGGCGCATTCTGATTGGCTGCGGCTGCTGCTGCACTTGGAATACATTGTAGTGTCCCCGTCCTCATCACACGGTCAGCGCATCCGGGGTGAATGAGACTTTAAAGCGCACCTGGGGTGAATGAGCCCTTTAAGTGCACCCGGGGTGAATTAGTCCTTAAAGCGCACCCGAGGTGAATGAGCCCTTAAAGCGCACCCGGGGTGAATGACCAATAAAGCGCACCTGGGGTGAATGAGCCCTTAAAGCGCACCCGGGGTGAATGAGCCCTTAAAGCGCACCCGGGGTGAATGAGTCCTTAAAGCGCACCCGGGGTGAATGAGTCCTTAAAGCGCACCCAGGGTGAATGAGCCCTTAAAGCGCACCCGGGGTGAATGAGTCCTTAAAGCGCACCCGAGGTGAATGAGTCCTTAAAGCGCACCCGGGGTGAATGACCAATAAAGCGCACCTGGGGTGAATGAGCCCTTAAAGCGCACCTGGGGTGAATGAGCCCTTAAAGCGCACCCGGGGTGAATGAGACCTTAAAGCGCACCTGGGGTGAATGAGCCCTTAAAGCGCACCTGTGGTGAATGAGCCCTTTAAGCGCACCTGGGGTGAATGAGCTCTTAACGCGCACCTGGGGTGAATGAGCCCTTAAAGCGCACCCGGGGTGAATGAGCCCTTAAAGCGCACCCGGGGTGAATGAGCCCTTAACGCAGCAGTGGGCAACTCTGGCCCTCCAGCTGTGCTTTAACTACGAATCCCATCTGCCACTGGGAGTCATGCCTGTGGCTGTCAGTCCTGCAATGCCTCATGGGACTTGTAGTTCCACAGCAGCTGGAGGGCCGGAGTTGCCTTATAGGGACATCAGAACTTTTCTCTCATTGTCCGTGTTAGTTTAGACTCCGGAACGCACACACAGAGTCGGTCCTGTGATATCTTTCTCTCTGATTCTGATTGAACAATGTCGTCTGGAGTTCCCCTTTAAACCTTAAAGGGGCGGGCTCCCTATTCTGCGGGCGGCTCCCGGGAATGTCAGTTTCGCTTTGTAACGGCCGAGCAGAGACACTCTATTATGAGCCGTGCTGGTAACACAAACCGCCTCCTGGCAGCAGCCGGAGGAAACACAAAGCGTTCTGTTACACGCGGCGTGACGAATAAGCGTCTCGTCTTTCCCCCGACGCAGCATCACGTCACCCGTCTTCTTATATCTGATCAATTCCCCTAATACAAGTCACCAACATACATGTACAATGTACACCTGTCACGGCACACGGGGAGGGGGGGCTCATAGGGCAGAGGTCTGAAGCTGGCCACGCACCACTGTGCTCTGCTACGCATTGACTGGCCTGTCAATCGAAAGGCATGCGGCTGCAGCACAGTGACACATGTAAGGTGCTTTATGGTGCGTTGTGGTAAGGTGCGCGTTACCGTGATGCGTTACCATAAACGGGCCCTGAAAGATGTTGCGCATACATAATAATGCTCGTTATGCCGTGTATTAACATGCGTTACGTTAAGGTGGCCGGCTCATTTGATTGGGCCGCCTAATGCAACAAAACATGTACGCAGCATTTTTCGGCGGCGAATGCAACGTTGAGAAGGTGTATCGGGTTTCCATTCAGAATGAATAGAACTGCGTCCCACCAACGCACACAGTGTGCGTAACTGCACGTTACCATAGAGCGATAGTGTGAGCGGGAACCTCGGGGGCCCATTCACATCACTGCGCTGCACAACATGCATTGGTGCACTGCAGTGTCAATGGCACCCCAACGCTCCTCCAAAAAGCATGCGACTTAGTGCAGCCCCCGTCATGATGTTCTGCCTGTGCTGCTGTGCGTTTCAGCCTCATTCATTTGAATGGTCTGTCTAATTGTGCGTCAACGTCTGGCATTGTGATGTGAATGAGCCCTCAATGTAAAATGTAAGACGTTGGGGTGGGGGAGGGGGGGGTCACATTGTAGAAGTC